TTTGAAGTTTGTGTTTTGCTCTCAGCAGATACACTAGCAAAGGTCAGCAATGAGCATTTAAGATGTCCTTCCGACATACCTCAGTTTCTCTTTTCCAACTTCAGGGTAGTACTTGCCACCAGTGTCGACAAAAGACAACTGATACAAAGACAATCTGTCGCAACCACAGCTGTGGTGGAGTAAGGGGACAGTTTTGTGGACCATGTCTTCGAAATCGCTATGGGGAAGATGTGAAATCAGCACTGCTTGATCCAGTAAGTATTTCTAGGTCTTGAAAGAAAGTGTAATGAATACAGTTTTGTCAATAAGCTGTGAGGAACACTTGCTCATGATAACATGGAGCTCAAAGCTTTTTGCCATGAGAAAGTCTGTAGTACTGTTACAACTGATACTGATCTTGTTGGAGCTCAAGTGGAACGTGCTGGACGTGGGTTACAATCCATCCATCTTCCTGCTTTGAAGTTTCATTTGCTTACCAGATAGTGGAGGGAAAGCATGACAGCTTTTAAGAAGAGGAATCTGTCCCCTTTCAGAAAAATGCCAGTATGTTCCCTTTTTTTTAATGCTCGCAGTAATGTGGCATGCAAAGCAGGTTCCTTGGTTTAGATTCCGATTTTTAAATATGAGAAAAAAGGAAAAGGATACCTAGAAGTCTCAGGGTTGGTTCCCTTTTCTCTGTTGTCCCTCAAGGCTCTGAGCAAGGAGGAAGTGCAGGCTGCTGCTAGAGAATGAGGCATGTGGGTACACAAAGAACTCTCAGCAGAGTAAGCCCTCCATGTGCTCAGCTTGTTCTGGGGCCTCCTCTTACCCACCTCTGCTTTAGATCTGGGCTTCTGGGTTGTTCTGAAAGATGGTGGAGAGCTAATGGCTCTGGTTTACTAGCCTAGTGTAGCAATGGCTGCAATTCCGTAATGCAGGCTGTTAGAACCTGCCTCTCTGATCAGTTGCTGAGCAGCTGGAAGGTGCCTGACTTCATGTACGTGCTAGATAATTCAGCCCCAGGAATCATGCTATACCGGCAGGCAGAGCCAAAGAAACCTCTAAGAGGGGCTACCTGTCTTTTGCTAGGCAGTTTGCTGCAGTCAGCCTAGCATAGGTGAGTTACCATTAGGCATTGCAGGTGCCTTTTGTCTGTTTGAAAATCAATACTGAGTACACCAAAGAACCTGAGTCTTCAGAGTTTAGAAGTATTTAAGCAAACAGGGTAGTACTTAATAATTTCTTTAATCCTGCAGAATTTGGAAAGTGTTTACAAGGTTGGTTGGCTGACTGGTAGAGGTTTTTAAAACCTTGTGTCTGAGCAGTGGGAAGATGACTGTGACCCCTATAACCTTACTCATGTCTTGTCTTTACTCCCCCTTCCACCCTCACTGCCTTTTCAGGCCTGGATCTGTCCCCCTTGTCGTGGGGTGTGCAACTGCAGCTACTGCCGCCGGCGGGATGGGCGCTGTGCCACGGGCATGCTCATCCACTTGGCCAAGTTCTACGGCTACAACAATGTCAAGGAGTATCTGGAAAGGTGAGGGCTGTGCCCCAGTGGTCATTTCCTTTTAAACTGTTGTAGCCCTTTAAACAATACCTGACTTCTGTCGCCTGGGGAGATCCTGGACCTACGCAAAAGAAATCTTTTGGACTTGAAATCAGCTTCATTAAAGCAAGTCATATTGTCTGTAAACAACTGATTTCCGTAAGAGATTGAAGTGCTTTTGCCAATTTGAAATCTGTATTGATTGCTTGGAGCATATAGAAGTGCTATTTTAGAAGCTGTCATCTTCGTCAATGGTAGTTGTCTGTTTATGGGGAACCTGAATTTCCTATAAAGCACTAACACTGTTTTCTCACATTTTCTAGTTTACAGAAACAGCTGGCGAATGACAATTGAGAACTCTGAATTCAAGGTGTGCCTGTGACTGGTTAATATGTTGACAACATTTGACTTCAGAAGGTTATTACTATGTTTTATATAAGATAGAATTGTAGGGTAGAGTATATGCATTTCTTTGTTCAGAACTTTGATTGATGTGGTCTTATGCAAAAGATCTCTCAGGAATATGTTTTGGTAGAGAATTCTACATGCACAGACCTATACGTTAAGTGAAATGGCACTCTTGAACTTTGAGTGGTTAATTTTTAATAGAGCTACGCAACCACATGATTGAGAACTTGGTCAATTTGAGCAATATTTTTATTTATATAATTATGCAAGTTTGCAGAAAGGGTGTTTAATGACTACCTGTAAAGCATATCCTGTCTTTAAAGAAACAAAACGCCCTTTGTGTTCTAGCTTGACCCTAAAGATTCAGTTTTCCAACTCTTGCTTTCTGAACCTACTCCTGCACCTGTAGTTTATGGAACTTTCCATGCAAAAAAAGGAAGGGTACTTTCATCTGAATGCCATAATATTTCAGCCAAAGCTGATATGGGGGGATGATTTTTTTTTTTGTATTCCAAAGTGCAATTAATAACTGAAACATGAAAGTGGAAGAGTGTTTTATAAAAAAAAAAAAAAAAAGAAAAAAAATTTAAAGAATTCTAAACATCATCCCAATAAAGAATTGTTCACCTACAGTTTTCATGTGATGTACCTGCTGCCTGAACCAACTACCTTACAGCAGTTGGTAACTGTAACTGTTAACTGTTAACAAAACAGAGTTCAGGATTACATTTTTAACGTACAATTCATATTTAGATGTATTTTTCATATGTACAACCAAACTTTCAAACTTTGTTTAAATGCAATGTTTGTATTGCAGTATGGGTATGTTAAAGTTCTTGTAAGATACGTTTCATTTTATGTAGAGAGAATAAAAAGTAACCAAGAGGAGTAATTTGTCAGTTGAATCTACACCCAAATGCTGATGTTTCCCATTTACTTTCCATAGCTGGTGTAATGAAGGAATGCTTGCAGATCAGTAATCATTATGTGGTGAAAGTCATGAACACAACACTGACAGATGAGGATATAACAGCATAGAGCACATAGAGTGTTACAGGAAAGATTGTGGTTTTGGGAGGCAAATCTGCTCTAGCTGATTATGAAAAATATTTATGTCCTTCTGCTTTAACTACAAGGCAGATTAAGAAGGCAGCACGTAGTATTGAAAGCCTAGTACTAAACTGCCATGAATAAAGCTACTTCTGCTACAACCCGTTTAGGTGACTTCTCCTTTACTCACTTTTCAGAGCGAAAGTCCAAGCATAAGTTGGCCCTCTGCTTTTGGTTTTAGAAACTGGATGTTCATAAGCATTCTTAGTTTCACGTCAATCCACTGGAATAGCCCTCACAAAAATGACTGGCAAGTCAATGCCTTGAGCTGGTTAAGCTATGGTCCCCAGCTGGATGTCCAGCCTGGTGCCTACAGTATAGATACGCACATGGTATACATGGCGTTCTATATTGCAAGACCAGAATACTTCAGGTACAAAGAGCTGCTTATTGCTAAATACTTAAAGCTATGTTTAAACATACAAATTAATTGTAGACTGTTGTTGGCATGTTATGCGTCATCTCTTTGTGTGAATGTGGAGGTGAGTAGGTAGCTTCTGCTGGGAATGGACGGCTGGTTTTGTCAGCATGCCCTTTCATCGAAAGCAAGGACCGGAAACCACTTATACTTGTGACTTTGAGTATGCCTGTGACTGAATGTGCCTGTCAAAGTCAAGTGCTCAGATTTTCTCCTAATGCTTCACTAGTTTATGGTCAAGTATTCTGAGAGGTGGAGAACTATGCTTGGAGTGTTTAACACGTTTGATATATCACTATACAAACAGGTACTTCAGTGTAGTTAAGGCACTGATGTCTTGAGTCCTGTGCTGCTGAAAGGATGCACTTTCTGAAAGCTTCACTTTCTGAAAGCTGCTGAGTTTGTTCTTCTAAGTAGCATATAATATGTTGCAGATGCTTGTTCTGGATTTTAGGAGTGTTTATGTAGCAACAGGAAAGTTTATCTTTGCAAATACCAATGCAAACACAGAAACTGCAGCTCACAAAGTTCCTTGATACCTTCCTCATATCCAGAGGAGGAATGAACAGCATTGCCCCTTGAGTGGCAGAGTCAGGTTACCATTTCAGAAAAGCAACAGTCAAATGCTATGCTTGTCATTGCTCCAGTCTCCCATCCTGATTTTCTGCTTGGGCTTACCTGCTGTAGTAGCAGCTCCTTTCCAAAAGAGGTACTTTCTTTTTATTACATTCAGGTCTGGTGAAGTGTATGAGTAATGATAATGTTTCTGTAATTGCTGTGGAGTCATTCACCTTTCCTCTAATTAGCTCTAACTCAGTCGACAGCCTTTCTAAGTTAAAACTAAAATCTCATTTTGACTGCGTGCCTTAATTGTCATTCCTAAACTAGGTGCTTCAGTCTCAGCAAACTACAATGTTTATCCTCTGAAAGCTGTTAAAAGAGGGATTGCAGCTCAAAAGATGAACATGATTTCCATTCAGGGACAGCCTACAACCATATTACAGCTACTGCAATAATTGACTGCTTGGATACCTAAATGAAAAATTTACTGTTGTCATACTTAAACATCACCCACTTCGTTGTATCGATATATCATGCTAATGCAGGGTTCTTTCTTTGCTTCTTTCGTCTCCCCAGTGGCCTATAAGTATTATGGCCTAGCAAATGAAAAATTCAGAGATGTTTAGATCCGTTTATTTAGAACTGACAACTTTCTGCCAAGGTGGAATTAAAAACAGGAGAAAGATGATTTTTTAAATAGCTTGCTTCTTTGTTTGTTTTTTTTTTAACAGCAACTGTGTAGATGGCTTGATCCAGGTTACCAGCATCTGGTAACTACTAACCCTATTCCTCACCTCTTAGGTCTGCTGAAAATTTCTAGGTGATTGGTAGTGGGGTAAAAACTAAAGTCTCTGGAATAGTCTTCAAGCTTCTGAACCTCAACTAGATTAGAGTTGCTGCTTTACTACAATGCAGACATTATCATAAAGAATAGCTATTCCATTTCCAAAAAAAAGCAACAAAAAGCCCGAAAATTTATAGAAGAGCAATGGTAGTGTTAAGGTCACTTGCCTTGAGCCTGAGGTCCAGCTGTTTAAGAGACCTATGGATCTCTGAAAGGAGAAGATTCGTCCTCACACTCTTGAAGGCAACCAAGGGTGTAGAGGCTTCAGGCAGTAGTGTTCTGCATGATTCTGCTATATGAAACTCCTTGGGAAGCATCTCCAGAATATCATCCAGGACATTCTTAACCTGTTCAGACCAATACAAACAGAGCCATTAGAAATCACTGCAATCAACTCATTTTGACTCTTCTACTTTCAAGTCTGATTTCTTCTCCAGGAGAGAGCAAACATCCTATTTTCTTAGGCAGATAAAAACCAGAGATTCTCCCCCACCTTTGCTGTTTCTTTGCAACAGCATTGAAAGAAATGACTGCAAACCTGTTAACACTTAGCAGCTTCTATTTAGCTTTATATTTTCAAGTAACATCAACCCCCTGTGAGAGACTGATCTGAAATCAGACTCCACTGTCCATTGTCTCAAAGATTGGTATGAGAAACTAAGATGGAATTCCACCAATCCATTGTCTCAGAGATGGGTGGGAGGAGTTAAGACTCCAGTATCCATTGCCTGGGAGAAGGGTGTGAGGAGCTGAACTGGGACTCTACCGTCCATTGCCTGAGGGATGAGTGTGAAGACTCTTCCATCCATTACCTCAAGGATTGGTGTGAGGAATTGCTGCCCATTATCCCAGAAATTGTGTGCAGTTGAGGAGCTGGCTGCAAGACCAGGGAAACTGGTCCACCGGGAACGTGTAATACATGACATGAAGAACATTAGAACTCATTAGAAAAGGGGGAAAAGGTAATCACAAAGAGGAACCATTGCCTTGAGGAGGACTCCAGAAGGACACCTCCATGAGGACACTCTCCACTGATGACTACTACAGACCCTGAGGGACACCCTCCATGAGACATTTCCATGAGAGCAACTCCATCAGGTCACCTCCAAGGGTACCTTCAAGGGAACGACTCCAGAAGGACACCTCCATGAGGACACACAACTCCGACAACTACTATGTACTCTTGGGGGACCCTCTGCTCTGATACCGACTACGAACCTGGAAGGACTCCCACCACCTTTGGCAACGACGGATCCCTGGGACACCACTGGATCCACGGTGCTGACTCTCCCTCTCTCTCTCTGCACCCCGAATTCTTGCTTCATTTCCATCCTTTTTCCATTCTGTCCTATCGCTATCCCCCTTATTACAATGATTTCCCTTTTAATAATAATTGTCTTTTTGTAGTAAACCAACTGATCAATTACAGCATTTGACCTCGTTTCTGTCTTAATGTCGCTCTTGGGATCACAAACAAAACAGGGTCCGACACTGGGGTTTTCTCCAATTGGACCCTGACACTCCCAAAGCAAACCAACATGTCAACCCTGGGCTTGGGATTACTGCTGTTACAGGGATGAACCCTGTGATTGCCTTGGGTTTCAGTTGTGTGATTAGTAGTTTGTATTTCTACAGTATCTAATAGCTTCATCACCCCCTCCACCACCCAGAGTCATTACTGTCTTGGGCATTGAGCAAAATACAGTGCAGACACAGGCACACACATCTCACCCCCCAAAAAGAGCCTCTCTCCCTCCCCACAGGTCTACTCTGGAACTGACATCATAGAGCATAAATGAAGTACAATTCGTAACGGTACTAATGAACAGGAACAGAAATCACAACGTCAATGCATCTCAGTCTCCATCAACCCTAGCTTTGGCAGAATTAATGATGAATGTGATATATGTAATTGTCCACACTCTCTCAAGTGGACAGGAACTGAAAGTGAAAAGCACAAGCTCCCCCGGGGAATTGAAATGTTGTTTGGTTTCAGACTCTCAATCTCAAAAAGGGACTGTTGTGGTTTAAGCCCAGCTGTCAGCTCAGCACCACACAGCTGTTCACTCACTCTCCTCCTTTCCTCCCCAGGTGGGATGGGGAGGAGAAACGAAAGAATGTAAATCCCACGGGTTGAGATAAGAACAGTCCAATAACTACAGTATAATATAAAACTACTACTAATGATAAGGGAAATGACAAATGGAAATAATATAAAACTAAAAGGGGAAAGGAAAAAAACCCAGTAAATGCAAGTGATGCACAATACAATTGCTCACCACCTGCTGACCGATACCCAGCCTGACCCGAGCAATGATCTGGCCTTCCACATGACTCCCTCCAGTTTATATACTGGGCATGACGTGCTGTGGTATGGAATACCCCTGTGGCTAGTTTGGGTCAGGTGTCCTGTCTCTGCTTCCTCCCAGCTTCCCCTCCTCCCTGTCAGAGCATGAGACTGAGAAAGTCCTTGTAGAGTCATAGAGTAGTTATAGTTGGAAAGGACCTTAAGATCACCTAGCTCCAACCCCCCTGCCATGAGCAGCGACACCTCGCACTAAACTATATGTCGCCCAAGGCTCTGTCCAACCTGCCCTTGAACACCGCCAGAGTTGGAGCATTCACAACTTCATTGGGCAGCCAATTCCAGTGCCTCACCACCCTCACTGTAAAGAACTTCTTCCTTATATCTAATCTAAACTTCCCCTGTTGAAGTTTGAAGCCATTACCCCTTGTCCTACCACTAGAGTCCCTAATGAAGAGTTCCTCCCCAGCGTCCTTATAGGCCCCCTTCAGATAGTGGAAGGCTGCTATGAGGTCTCCACGCAGTCTTCTCCAGGCTGAACAGCCCCTACTTCATGTTATCAGCAGTGCTCTCAGACTAAAGCTAAAACACAGCATTGCATCAGCTACTAGGAAGGAGAAAAAAATGTCTGAAATAAATATCTGAAACCAGGACATTTGGCTATTTACATGCAGAGCCATCATATTCCCTCCTGCAAAACATCCATGATCTGATGGTGGTAAGAGGAAAATAGAGTGTCAGAGGGAAAGGAGAGAGTAAAGAAAGGGATGGATAGCTGCAGAATAAGAGCGGCAGTCAAGGGGGAGTTTAACTCTGCTAAGGATGAGGAGCTGAAGGCTTAGTCTCATGATATGCCAGTTTTTGGGGCATGTGGACATAGTTTCTCAGGTCTACGCTCAGAAAGGGAGAAGCAGGCTCTGATAACAAAACTAGGTGAGATTTCCGATTGCATTTTCCTTTCCTGCTTATCCTTTATTCTTTTAATCTATTAAGCACAGCACCAGTGCTGCTCCATGCTTAAAACCCCATATTTGACATTTTTCTGGAATCAGTTTGACTGGGTGTCTGAGATATTTTGTCCGTGAACTACAGTGCCTCAATTAACTCCATATGAAGTGACAAAGCTTATATTTGTGTTAGGGTCGGTCCATTTAACCCAGCATCTGAGAGCTTATAGGTATTAATGTTACTGTTGTGCTAAACTCCAGCTTCGGTACAAGAGGTGCTGAGGCTACAAATTCACCTTTTCAGACTACCAGAAATGTAAACCCCCCTGAAAACCTCTTCTTCAGCTGCTGCTTGCAAGGGAAGTCTCTTAGAGTAGCCACATGGCTCCCGCTCAGGAAGGGGCCAGGAATGGGGGTGGTGGGATAACATTGTGCTTGAGCTGCTCTTCCTGGCATGGATACCTTACACATTGCTGCTAGGCTGTGCTGTGAACGGGGCAGAAAGAAGCCAGGACCATGAGCTTGGAAGGGACTTCCTACATTTGGCACAAGTGAGAAGGAACAGGGAAGCCTCCCAAAGGTGATTTATCACATAGGAAATTGGAACAAAACACAGAGGCGAAGAACTAGACTCACTAACTCAACCAACCATAATCTGTTTTAGTAATTTAGTGTTGCTGTACTTGTTTATAAAAGCACACTAAATTCAAAATAAAAAAGAAACAGTCTGTGTAACATGTCAAATTTTCCTGTGGTCCAAATTCCTCTGGTCTAAATTCCTCCCCAGTGCAGTACATTGCAAAGGCTGGCACATAATCATCACTGCTATTAACACTCAGCTGATCTTTGAAGATTTGATGAATCTTTTTACTTTCTCCCAGAAATGAAGTCTCTTGCTGAAATAATACAGTAAGATATGTGCTCCCCGTGTCATTAACAGCACTGACAACAGACCAGATGAAGAACTTTAACTTGTCCTCCTCATACAGGCCTGATCTGTCTCCCACGAATGAATTAGTGGGTTGCATTTCCAGAAGAGTTTCGAAGAGATTATCTATTCAAGTATCCCTCCTCAGCATTGGAGTGCAGGCCAAATAGTACAGGGCTTTCAGATGGAAGCATTTTGTCTGTATATTTGCGGCATCCATCATAATCCAGATTTGGTGGGGCAAAGCCTGGTGCCACAGCCAGTTCCCCTTCAAGCTCTAGTAGAAGAATCAATAATGCTACTGATAATGTTGTCACCAGTTCTTGAAACATTCTTCCACATCTACAAAGTTTCAGAGATCTGTCTGGAGTCTACGAACATGACATCTACGTGTTCTGATACAGTGGAACAGGGTTACCAAACTACCTTTAGCAGAGTTATTATTTGCATAATTTTCTGACTTCCCGTTTTCTGCAGTATTGAAATACTGTTGCTGCTTCCTCCATGAGATTGCCTGAGTTTAATTTAAGCACTGTCACTGTGAATCAAGTGTATTTTAAGTACTGAATTTCTGATCCCCTCAGCACACAAGCAAGGATTATGATGCCATTTTGCAGGTGAGAGTCTGAGACACACAGGACAGGGTCACACAGGACACCTATGGGAGAGGCAGGACTGGAGCCTCAACTCACCTGAACCCCCATCCTAATACATGAGCCACAACATTAATGCTAATTAGTGTGTTGTTAATTTGGGGCTTTACACAAACACATTGCACTCAACCTTAAAGAGGTCACAGGGAGAGACAGGTCGATGAGACAGGTAAGTGGAGTGTAGAAGTGGGATAGCACGTGTCAGTATATGAGCAATCTTGTCAGAAACAATGATCCCATTCCATTTCCCACAGAAATGGTTCCAGTTAGAAAATCTCTTTATGTGTTGATGTTCCTTCCTATCTCTTCTGTCTGGCTGTTAACACTCAGGAGCTGGAACAGAAAATAAAAACAAGCTACTCTACTACATCTCTCCAAATGTAGGAGTCTTGCACAGATTTTGCATTGCTGCTTTAGTCTCAATGAGATAGACAGTGGCAATAATTTTCACAGCAGAAAAAATTAAGGTCTCAATCAGCTCAATATTGAACCAAATACTATTAACTGCACCATT